CTAAACCCTCAGAGCCCTAAACCCTCGGAGCCCTAAACCCTGCGTAGTCCCAAGAAGCCTAAATCCTGCGACTGTTTGGCCCGGCATCTGCTGCAGGTGCAGGGAGGCCGTGGAATTCGGCAGCCCATGCCTCGGCCCCACTTCCTACTTTAGGGCTTAGAAATAGTTTAGGATTTAGTAGGTTTAAGGCTTAGAAAGTTCAGGATTTGGTAGGGTTTAGGGTTCGGGATAGGTTTCGGGGTGGTTTACCATCAGCACCCTTTTGCTTTTTTAATGTGATCTGTGATATCAGCCCAAGGCTCCAGGCTACGAGGCCGAGGGCCAGCAGGCAGACCCCAAAGCGTGCAGCGGCAGCGCATCGGACCATGGGTTGGAGTCGGAGAGTACATGTGGATGTGGGATCACATCTGCTGGGGATGTGGGGGGTGATGCGGAATGCGTGTACGGGCTTCCTCTTCTGACTCTTCTTCATGGCCTCATGAGACTGATTCAATCGCCAGAAATTCCTCCGACCAACTGAAGCAGCGCCTTACTTGCCATCTTTGGACAACGGCCGACAACGTCCTTGCAGCACACGGCGGCGGCAATCGAGCTTCGGGTTTCAGGGTGCTGGGTTTGAGGGTTTACCTTCGAGCTCTTCTCGGCCTCTCGCGGTCGGTACATTCGGCATCCCACATCATTTCTTTGCCGTCTGACTGACACAGCAGATGCCATGCGGGCGAGCAGGAACACCGACAGTGCAGGGATAGGTCCAGGTGCTGTTTTGCTTCAGTGGTCCAGTTTCGGTCGCTGAGCATCAGGCTTCTGAGAACAAAACTTCTGATCCCCCTTCCCAGCAGTAGCTTTTTGCTCGAGCGGCGCACGTGCTGACATGTTGGGTATGCGAAGCCGCAGACAGCTCAATTCCTTCTTCGCGGGGAGACAGGGCGACATCCACAGCCACCATGCGTAGGGCATTCAGGTACAGAAACCTGATAAAGGCAGAGCAATATCAAAAGAGACAGTCGTGCACAGGAAGCACCACCCAGAATTGAGACCTATCGAGTCCTGCTGGTTCCGACATAGGCGCGGCGCGTCGAGCCTGCGCCCCCAAGGCTGCATCCTGTGTGGCCGGCTATGGATTCCGGAATGCAAAGTAACGAAGGCTGTCTCTGCTCCAGCTCTTTCATGTAGGGCATCTTCAACTCGAGATCCTTATTACCCTGGGAGTTTACTTGCTTCAGTACCTCATGCTCGTCCTCCAGTATCTCCTCCTTGCACCACCGTGTCAGGAGACTTGCTAACAACAAGGCCAAGTGTCGAAGTGGCGGGCTTCGTGAAATCAGGGCATCCAAAAGTTGAAACCTCTCTGCCAAAAGCCCTTTGCCCCGCAACTTTGCCACCGCTGGCAGCCAAGACTGGTCATCGAAGTCCTTCTGAGAGATGGCTAAACGAAGCTTTCCAGCCTTCAAGCTGCTCAAACAGGCGTCGGCCCCAGCAAAGCGCAACCCCTCGATAAGCAACTCCGTCGCTTGAGTGAGCGCCTGCTGGCTCTGGACGCAGCAAGTCCTCCTGCGATGCCCTCGGGAAGCAGGAAAAACCGAGTGACAAAGACCTGACAGGGCTCCGAAACCCTACACCCTAAGCCCTAAACCTAAACAGAAAGGACTGTTGCTTGGGATGGTTTGTGCCTATCGGGATCTTCGTTTATGTAGCTTCAGGGCAAAACATCCCACACAACAGTCCCCTCTCCAGAACCTAAAACCCGACAAGACAATAAATCTAAACCCAAAACCATAAACCTTCAACTTTTTGAGTCCCAAGGATCTGCCTGATTGCTAGCAAAACCCATCATAGGCCCTAAGTAGTTTAAGCATACTATGCCCCAAAACCTCATTTTAACTCTGAAAGCCCCCAAAACCCTGAATCTCATATAGAGAGATTCTAATACCATACAGCAACCCTTTCTCGGCCTGCAGGTTTTGACTTGAGGCTACTGCTCCTCGACGCTCATGTTGGCCAAGAGCTTTGCCACTCACTCCGATCAGAACCCAACGAAATCGACGATTGTGACGAAGTAGGAACATCCCAAGTGCACGCATCTGCACCTGAAGATCTGCGATTCCGTTGGCTGTGAACAAGGTTCCGGTGTTGATACTTTCAACAGGATGAAAGTGCCGGCCCTGCCACAAGCTTCATGTCTTCCAGATGACAAGATGCTGGCCCTGGCCGCACTGTTGATACAGCCAGGTTGGGACGGCAACGTCCGCATGGGGGCCGGTCATCTTCCCAGCACCACTTCACCGCCTTTCCGGTGGCAAGCGTCCACGGAGACACGGTCGTCCAAGCTCGACCGACCGTGAGGAGACAGCAGGCAAGAAGGAGCTCTCACTCGGCAGCTCCACCGCTCTGCCGGCTTTGCCTCTTGCTACTTGGACCGCTTGGAGCTACGGAACTCTGCGAGTCAGCTTCACCGCCTTCTTCGCTGTGGTCACCGTCACCGCCTACTTCGCTGTGGTCACTTTCTTTGCCTTCGTCTGACTGCGAATCCGGCTGCATGGCCTCAACAGCCCCAGCTGCACGTGTGTACACGCCCGCTGCAAAGTTCATGACCTTGTCCAAAGCATCTTCTTCATCGATGTCGTATTCCGGGATATCGTCCCAGTTGAGTCCCCCATCCTTGCCTGCCTTGGACTTCTTGCGCTTGGTGTCTATGTAGGCAGGCCTCTTCTCCTCCTTTTCGGAGCCTGTGACAGAGCCCACAGAAGTCAGGGCACTGACCTCTGCAGTTTGAGCTTCAGCCATTCCCTGCGCACTTGCAGATGCTCTCGGCGTGCTCTCAACGCTGGCTCCGGCCCGCAGCTCTGAGGGCCCAAGGGAATCCGAAAGCTGTCGCAGAGCTGCGCTCCAGTCTCCTGCTACTCTCCAGCAGCGGCCCTTCCAGATTTCAGGCACTCGCCCGGACACTCCAAGGCCTCGGAGACTGCCGAGAAAGCGGGACTACGGCAGGTTCTTTGGCTCATGTCATGTTCGGCTTCATAGTCTTCCTCGCAGGTCTCTGAGACTCTATAAAAAGTCAAGAGCCACGCCGCTTGTGCTGCGGAACGCCCACGATCTAGATCTGCACAAACCCTCCAAGAAAGCGGCAAAAACTGGCAAAATGAATTGAGCCTATGTACGAACGAACCCTACTACACACCCCACAGCAGAACCCAACAGTAACCAGTAACGCTTACACTAAGCCCATGAACGAGCCCGCAACAAACCCCATCTTTAGCTCCCCATCTGCCAGGCTGCGCAGAAGCGTGGCGCAAGGGAAGTCTGCTGGATCCAAGAGCTTCGCAGGACTCTTCCAGGTCCCCACCTTCTACAGAAAGGGGCCTTCATAAGTAGAACAGGGCTTTGGACGGTGAATTTGGGGTATATGATACTAAAATTATATAGTAAGGCTACCTATATTCAAGCTTTTCAAGTTTTGGGGCCTATAGGGCTCACAGTACGGGGCGTTTTAGGCTTTTTGGGGCGTTAGGGGTTTAATTAGGGGTTTTAGGGTTCGGGGTCCAGAGTTTGGGGTGAGACAGCGGTCAGGGTTTGGAGAGCTGGGCTGTGTAAAATTTACAATACCTCCGCTTCCACGACAGCCACGGCAGATTCCAGGAGCATGGACCCTGAAAAATGGGATCCTTGTTACATGGACCACGAAATCAGGCACCCGGCATCAAAGTTTGGAAAATGCCACCGCCTCCACAACGACCAATCGGCAGCTCCTTGGCAGCGACGACCTGGAGAAAACAGTGGGAAGCGTGCGCTTGAAAGTATAGCAGAACATGAAGGATGTTTCTTCAGAGGATGTAGCAGCACACAGACTGCTGTCATGGTTTAGCTAGCAGCACTTTGAGCAATTGGGAACTGCATGGTAGTTCGGAAAACAAGAAATGGTATGGACCTTCCATCGTGATCCTAGCGCACACGAGCGCATGCTCCTTCCGATCTCCAAGACAGCGAGACGGAGTACAACCTCGCCTCTAAGTTCCTCTAAGCGTGCTTGTCATGGCTGTATGCGGCGTTGCCACGGGCCTCCACTGGAAATACGCTTGCTCTTGCCTGTCACATGAGACTGGCTGCTCCCGATCAAGCTCGCGACTAGCTGTAGACCGGGAGCCTGTCGCAGCGCCAGCTTACGAATTTGGAGTCGCTGTGCCTCGAGAAGGTACATGGCGGGCAACTACATATCATTAATCTGCACGAAGCGCGATTCCCGGAGCTGCATTATGCGAGTGGAACAGCGGCACCAAGGGCGTTCTAAGGTCTGCGCATGTCGACATTGGGGCGAGCCAGACATGAAGAATCTGCCGGGTCCCTGGGGCAATTCTTGCGCACGTTTAAGAGACATCGCGTTTGTCGGGCGCAATAAACGAAGTGAACTGCTGCACTGGCACCACACATCGGGCCTCGGCAGCTCCCCAGCCACGCGAAGCAGGTCCGGCCCCTTTGGCCTGCGAACCGCATGCGCAGCCACAGGCGCTCCCGAGGGGCTGACGATGCCGAAGGAGCCGGCGGCCACCTTGGGTCCGAAGCGCTCCGGCGGATGCTCCAGATGCTGTTCGAGCACAGCATGCAAAAAAAGAGATATGATAAGAACATGTGTTCCCTGGTGACAAGCTGTGTGTAGGGGGCTGATTACGGACGTGGCACAGCCCGCTTCCACGGAGTCCATTCGTAGGTGCTGCTGTTCTCAACGGCCTCCAGGGTCCGTACCTCCACAGCCTGAGTGCCAAGATTGTGTCGAAAGTCGCAGTAAACGTCGTCGCCAAGACGTGAACCCCGCAGGCCCTTCTCTCACCTCTTACTGCTCCTTATAGGAACCTCCCCTCTTAGAATCTTAGATCCTTCCCGCCTCCCCGGGCTGCAGGTCGAAGTGAGGGGGCAGCTCCAAGGGGAGCGTCCCAGGGAGCTCTTCGCCTGAGCCGGGCTTCCATGCACCATGGAAACATATGGAAACCCACCGGTTCAACGAGTCCCTCAAGGCAAAAAGCACCAAGAAGCAAAGCAGAAGCCGTATAATATAAATTCTAACAAATATAGCGTGCACTAATCCCTAAAGCCCTAGCCCTTACCGGCTCGGAAGGCCCAAAACCGAGGCCCCGGCCTTCCCAGTCGGACTTGGGCTCAGGTCCCGCGCCCAGCAGGGAGGCCAAGGAGGAGGCAGCGGCTGCAAAGCTCTGGCGAGCTCCCTCGGAGGGATTCGGCGGGCCGGAGTATGCCGGAGTCTTCTTGAGGGCCGGGGTCTACAATATTGCGAGCCGTCCGTATTTGGTGGCTCAGAGGACTGGAATTTTGGGGGCTTACGGCTTTTAGCCTCGGCTCTAGGGATGGTTTTCCTATGGTGCCAGATTTTGGTGATTTGGGGGTTTGGGTGTGTGGGTGTGTGTGTGTCCGGGACGCTCCGGGATCCAGGATGAAAGACTGAGCGGAGAGTTGACTTCGATCGCAGAACTCTCGAAGACGGGTGTCCAGGATTTCGATATCTGAACCTGAACGGAACATGGCTTTCTCCGAAAGCCCTTAGAGCTTCCGGTGTTCGGCCTTGGTGGTGTTGTTGAAGCCATTCTAGCCATCCCGACATTCCGATGTCAGACCTGAAAACGTGGGTCTGCCTCCGATGCTGGAAGAGTAGCCAAAGTAGTATCCATATGGGCATATGGGCGAACTGCTTCGACAACAACAGGCACCGTCCGGGCCAACAGCCCAAAGTCTACATCTCAATGGCACCTTAGACGTCGAGTTGCAGAGAGCAGCTGCTGGGCCGCCCCGTGGCCCTCGCCTACCCGCCAGATCTTGCTCGTACCGTCAACGCGTTGCCTCCCAGGAGGCAGGATTGAATCTGAAGGATGTGGGCACGATGCTGCCTATCTTGCAATGGGCATAGGGTTAAATCAAGTACTAGCTTCGAGCTTGTAAGTGCATCCAGCTTGCAGGAATGAGACAGAGCCGCGCAGCTCCCAAACTCTTTCGTCTCCCACCACCCGTGCCCAGTGCCCATCGACGGTCGATGTGACACAGAAGAATCCTGCAAACAAATGCATGCTTACACAATGCGTGGAGGCTAGCATCATGCGGTATGTAAAGTGAAGCAGAAGCAAACAAAATAAGCAGGTAACCGTCTGAACTTTGACGTCCGTGTCAGCCGCAGGCCCGTTCCGGTAGCATCTGCAGCAGCTGCTTCAGCCCTTCAGCCCCGAAAACCACATGCAGCTGCATGTACAAAGTTCCTGTTTGTACCTACTCATGTTGGCACCAAATACCCCCAAACCTTGAACCCACCCACCATAAACCCGAAACCCTGAACGTCTCTAAACACTCCGAATTAAAAAAAAAAAAAAGCCCCTTGCGGTTTCGCCTTGCTTCATGGACCGGCCCCAGCTTGCAAGGGAGCGACAGCCCTCCTCAGACACCGCGGGAGTACTTCAGGAGCTTCTTCGAAGCAGAAGAGGGTTTGTAGTTTGGGAATGGAGCAAGGGTTTAGGGCCTAAGTTTAGGGTTAGGGTGTCTCTGAGCCCTTGCTGCATCTCTTCAAGCATTGTGCGACTTGTCGCTTGGGGTTGGGGCTTTGTTGACTCCGGCCGGAGCGCTTGCTCGACATCGTGGGCCCTGTGAACTACCTTGAATGATCAGGAATACCAACCATGTAATCAAGGACGATCCCAACTTAGGACAAGCCTTCTGGTTGAGGAGGCTTGAGATCTCTCTCGCCGTTGCTACCTAGTGAAGGCATGACTGCACGCCGGGCATCGTCCGGCTGCATCTCCAAGTATCGCCGGCTCCAAAAGCCCCAAAATGCCCAGGCAAGTCCCGGATCACCTGGTCGGATGCGACAGCGCGGTTGGGCATGAACGCCACGTGGCGAGAGCTTCCTTGCTTGCCAAGGGACTGTCAAACAAGCTTGCGCTGTCAGCCTGCATGTGCCTGCACTGCCGATGTAAAGTCTCAACAGTATACATGACAGCTCTGTCCCAGTAGAAGCAGGAGAAGGCGATAACTCAGCAGTCGGCTCTCGCCAGAGCTCGCGCAGCGGGCTGCAAACTCCTTCAGCGGAGAGCTCCGAAGGCAGAGATCTAACGCCTGGGTTAGTTACGGCTGTTGAGGTTAGTTGTGAGCTTGGTCCTGGCGCCGGGATGCCATACTCCAAGCTGCCGGCCAGCGTGCTGAGCGGCGGTCGCTGGAAGACCCCTGACCAGGAGACCGCAAGGACTGAAGCTCCACAGCTTCGTCTCCCCTGGCCGAGGCCAGGCCTGCGTCCTTACCTTCCGGGAGGTCCAGAGCACCCCCGGCGCAGATCAGCAAAGCTTCTGCTTGCCGAATGCTCTCAGCTGCTTGCGGAACCTCCAAGTCTGGCAGCTCCGTGCAAGACTCTCTGACTGGGGGACGGGCTGACTGTGCACCTCGCTCACAGGCTCGGCGTGCGTCTGAAGGGAGGCTGGCGTGGGGCGCCTCGGCCCCTTCATCGCGGCATGGCAGCGCCCCCGGTAGAATGTAACACGAGCCCGGCAAGCGCGTTAGGGCCGCATTGGCGCCCGGTTTCAATACATCGATTACATTGCATTTAACTCGGTGTCGCGAATCAAGGCTGTCAACCGAGATTAAACTCAGGGTGAGTGCCTCCGCAGCGTGAACATCCTGAAAGCAGACCCTTAAATGCCTTCAAACATCCTAAACGCGAACGAGGTCTGAGTCTTGAAGTCTTGGGTTGCTGCAGAAACCCTCTCTTTCAAGCCAGTACTCGCAAAAAATCACCGGGAAGCCGTGCTGAAGCCCAGCGTACAGGAGTGGACGCCAACGCGAGACTCTCAAGAAGCAGCAAACAACATCGATGAAGCGAGGTACAAGAAGAGGCGACTCGAGCTTCAAGTCAAGCCAAGCCAAATTGTTGACGAGCCTCGTGATCCAAACCTGTAGCTGAAGAGATGCCGCCGCTTCTAAGCACAGCAACTGCCTGTCTCGCTCTCTCCCACTCTTTCGCAACGGCGACTTTGCGAACGCACACGCGTCTCCCGCTTTTAGGGCCACGGCTAGGTGGTCGGGAGCTGTAACGAGCAGAACTCAGCGATTCTCAGATGTCCACGCCCTCAAGACCGAGCAGACGGTTGTCGGGATGCTTGTAGATCGTGCCCTTGCACTCACTCCTCGGCCACGTGGCAATAGCTGGCTGTCCCAAAAAACGACACGATGTTTCCGAGTCTCCATGCCCTGGGACTCTCAACTAATTCCTCTTGTAGCCAAGCATTGCAAGGGTACTTACTTCTCTGCGGTTCAAACTTGAACATTCAAGTCAACGCCTCGTGCCGTCCAAGCCAACGAAACAAACTCGAAACATTACCAGTGCATGCAGGCTTCGTTGGTGCTCTCCTCCATTTGAAGCCTTCGACAGTAGGGCAAACATGCTTCACCCAGAATATCGTCGCCTGCCATCTGCGAGGAACCCAAACGGCCCGTATCAGCGGCTGCCTGCCATCACAAAGGAGCCGACATTTTTAATTGTAGACATATTGCAGCATTTTCTAGCACATTATTGCAGTCTACCAAAGTGAAATGATCAGTGGATGCCGTACAATCTTGGGTTGGTCCACAGCTAAGATCCCGGCGTGTAGTGCGTGAAGCAGCATCTGTAGTCGTCGTCGATCATAGGCTGGCAGCCGTCGCCCATCTGCTGATACTGTGAGAAACATCTGCATTGTGGCTTTCCTGAGGCAGAGCTTTTCGCAGGCTTGTTGGCCCAGTGATTTGTACTCTTGCACCGGGCACGAGTGCAGAACAGTTGCCGGCCCATGGCTGGCAATACGCGAAGTTTCCGCACCGGTGACCCTCAGCTGCCAAGGCAGTGTGCGACAAAGAAAGCAGAGAGCAGAACACTAAGCCTAGCCAGCTGACAAGCTGAGCATGCTCGGGCTTCTATTGCACTTGGTCCATTAAGCGTCCCCGGTCTCTCTGGATCCTTGGGGTGTCTTAATCACAAGGGATCCCTTTAGCTTTAGGGGGTCCTTGCACGAAGCCTAGGATCTATATTCGGGTCCTTTCTCTTTTCAAATTTTCCACTTGGGCAAGCTTCTGCGCACACGTCCAATGTGCAGTCGTAGATGTCGCAATACTCCGTGCCGACACCTTATCCGGGTTCACGCTCTCCCAGCATGAAGTTCATTTAGCCGAACAGTTCTACTCTGTGTTGTTAGGGTATTCTCCGAAGAGCCCGCGGGTCGCATCGGGTACCGAATATCGCGACTCACACTTGCTCCTGGCCTAAACGCATTAGTTCAAATTCTCTCATACGTGAGGGCATGCATGCATGCAAGCGCATATGCCGCCGCCTGTGCTACCAGATGCATTCATGCAGCACATGCTTGTGCACTAGACTCTCTTCTTTCGCATTGCATGAGCTACATGTTATGAACTACTGAACTGTGTTATGGCGTGGTATATTCGCTATTATACGTTATGGTCATGCAAAACTGCGAAAAATCCTGTGAACGGCGCCGGGAAGGCGAGAGCAGGAGAGATAGACAGATAGATAGGTAGATACTTTAGATAGATAGATAGCTAGCTAGCTAGCTAGCTAGCCAGATAGATAGAGAGACAGAGAGAGACAGACAGACAGACAGACAGACAGACAGACAGACAGACAGACAGACAGACAGACAGACAAACAGATTGCAAGAAAAAGTCTGAGGTGGCCGCATCGTGCGCACTGGTCTTCTTGGAGCAATCGGCCTTGACAAAACAACTCGACCATCTCAGGGGGCTTTCAGAGAGATGAACCTCGCATTGGAAGATCCTACCAGCGCCCAGCGCCTCAGGTTGATAAAGGATACCTGGACTATCCACTGTTTCCACCACACCAATGAGTGAACTGTAGCATGCTAGGGACATCATAACATGGGGTTATGCCTGGAGTTCTTAGATCACGCAAAGACTTATTCCTACAACTCCGCTTGAAGATTCCGTGTAGATATCACCAAAGCCGTGCCCAGCCCTGCCCGTCAAGGCCTGAAACCATGGAGCCACATGGCTCAGTGCAACGACGATGCTCCTCAAGGCAGGTGCAGCAAGGGGTCAACATCCACTTGCACCCCGCTGCACCCAGGCTCAGGTCATCTGAGGTCCTTGTAGTGCGACGTGGTTTTTTGCGGAGTCCGCTCGCAGAAGCAGCTCTCACAGCCAAGAAGGGAGAACTTGCCTGATGCCAAAGCCGGGTCAGCATCCGAACTCCCACGATTTCTGCCGGAACATCATCACAACAAACCTGGTGGCCAAGTCACGCGAATCTGCATCACATCCATCACCAGATGTGCTCGAGCAATGGAATTGCTCATCACATTCCTAGGCGGGACCAATGCCTCTAAGAATTCCGGGGACATGTGGCCAAATGAGCAATGACACTACCCTAAACCCTAAACCCTAAACCGTGTTTAGGATCTTGGAGACAGCTACCTTCCCACACCCGGGCTTTGGAGGCTCAGTGGGTCTATCCACTCCCAAGGTGTCTTCCTTAAATTCGGACCCCTCCACGCTTTACCGCAGTCAAAACTCCGATGGGTTGATCATGGCCAAGGGATGTAATTAAGCCCAAACTCAATGAAGCGTAGTTCTATTCCTAACAACCTTGGTCGCGAAAGCTGGCACAATATCTGCCACCAACAACTACTAAAGACCCATAGACTATATAGAACGGACCAAAAAGACTAAAAAGACACCCTAAAACTTAACCTCGTCCAATCCATCTCCCTGTCTCGTCCTGGCTAGCAGGACCCGAACGCGTCTCCCTTCTGCAGACAAAGTGGCGCAGACCCCACCAGGAAGCAGACGAGCCTAGGTTTCTTTGAAGCACTTCCCGAAACCCGAACATACTTCCAAATCTTCCAAGCTTGCACATGGTCAAAAGCAGAGGCATGCAATAAGTGAATCAACGACATGGTCACGAGCGTGAGAGAAACATCGACGAGGAGACCGAGTTCAAAGTTAGAGGAAACAGAGTCAGAGGCACCGCCAGGGAACACAAACAGCAGGAGCAGCGTGCACGTGCAAGCCATACGGAGAAAGATTGAGAGACAGGCCTGCAACTGGAGACAAGCACACAGATGTAGCAAACGCAGCGGCCTCTCAGTACTCGTGAGCCTCTGCTGTCTTGATTGCACAATTGTCTTCAACCAAGACGCTTATCATACGGCGTATCCCTGATACTGCCATCTTCCGCAATCATTCTGCGAGTGTTTACGAAAAGTTAGAGCTTGGTGAGGGTACAATCTGCATCAGAATGGACAACGAAATTGAGACAAATTTGGCCCACACCCTGACCACAAACTAACGACCGAACCCTGAGCCCAGCACATTGAGTGGACAGCGAGCACACCGGCAGTCTCGGCATGTTGGCCTTGAGTAGTTGCAAGCAGGACGTGACGGGCCCTTCGGTGAACTTCTGCTTCCGCCAATTTTCCAGCAGGAGAGCAAGGATCAAAAGCTGCGCACGCATGCATGATCCATGCATTGACATACTTCTGCCCTAATTTTGCTCAAGCTGAGCTCCAGGAAATCACCAGTTGCACTTGACAAGGGTGGAGCTCTGCTTTCAAGAGGGGTCTATGCCGCTGGGGCTAACCTCAGAAGCCTAAAGCTTCTGCTGCCAGGTCGCAGGGAGTACACCATGCTGGTGCTGGACCTGCAGGGAGATGTGTTCACAAATCAGTTGTCATGTGCCAAAGGAAGCCTCGTCATCAAGATAGTTCACCGGGCTGGGCGGCGCGGTGATGTCACAGTGTCACCCTACTGCTTGCCATTGCCGGAAGGCATGCTTAAGGCGGACATCTCTCAGTCTCTAGTTTCGCAACACCAGACGCGAGCTGGCACCCTTCTGCGCCACCCTGGAAGCAGTGATTGCCAGTCTTGCAACGGCAAAGGGAACCTGAGCATCGACAATGAGCACTTGTCACTTGTTCACCTATACAGCAGTCGAATACATTACTGTACGGCCAGAATGCTAGAACCGTCAAGAAGCACCAACAAGCGTCGCAGTCCTGACAATTCGCTCCGCCGTCAGCAATCTTCCACAACAGTCTTCAGCCACAATTGTCACGACCACCACCACTACAGCCACCGCCGCGACGACGACAGCCACAACAACAACAGCAGCATCAGCAACATAAAACACAACAACAACGACCCACAGAAACCCAGCCCCAGCCCGAGCCCCAAACACAACCACAACCACCACAACGACAACGACACGACAACAACCACACAGCCACAACCACAACCCGCCACCGCTACCACCACCAACACTACCAAGACCACCCCCACCACCCACCGCCACTACCACCCACCACGACGACCCCCAACAACATCGTCATAACCATCATCGTCATCAGCATCTTCATCATCACCATCCAAATGGCGATGGCCACGATGGGCATCCAGCCGTTGTCATCGTAATCATAATCACAGTCAGTGACATTCAGTG